AAAAAAAAAAAAAAAAAGAAAAAAACATAATAACATTACAACCATGTGAAAGACAGCTGCATTTGGTTTCGCCGTCAGATTAATGTAAGAACAAGGGAAAGAGTGTAAGAGTAATTATTATATTTTCAGTCCAGGGCCCCTCTGGATATCAGCCTCGTCGCTGAAAGGGCCACCCTGGCTAAATAAAGTTTAACTTTACCTTTACCTTTAGTGGAAACAAATGCGCGTCAAGCCAACTTTCAAATATCTCGAGCTGTAGTTTTCAGGGGTTTCATTGACATTTTCAGCAGAAAAGCAACTGGTTTTCGCAGGAGGGCAAAACTTTTTGATATGAACTTCTCCATAAGAAAACCTTCCCTCTAAATGGTCAAACCAAGCAGGCGAAATCGTCCTCACAGCTGGTCAGTTTTTCCGGTACGCGACCCTTGATGAAACCCGTGGGACTGTTTTCAAGATTGGTACCTGCAACACTTGGTACTTGTAACACGTGAAAGACAGCTGGAATTGGTTTTACCGTCAGATTAACGTAAAAACAAGAGAAAGAGTGCAAACAAATGTGCGACAAGCCACTGTCAAATGACTCGAGCTGTAGTTTTCAAGACTGACGCCTGCAACACCTTGTATTTAGCATTGTAACAGTAAAAGTTTCGGACATTGTTCTCGTTACTCTGCTTTTCGTTAGGTTGATGGCCTTAACCTATTCCATTTTAAGATTCCTGTCTTTCGCCGGCAATGTTTAATATTGGTACTACAGTGACCAGATTTGGACCTCAAGAACACTATAGAAATAAGAAAACGCTAAATAATGTATTTACCTATATGTAACTTTGATGTCTTGAAATTCTTGTAGGATATTCTTCATAGCTGCAACACGTTCTTGAAGATTTCCTTCGCCTTTCAGTTGACTTGGTAGTTCACTTCTTACAGCCTCTTCTCTCGTATTCGGTTTACATTCCTCATCATCCTGTTCTTCGTCGATTTCTTCCTCCTCGTCTTCTCTCGCCGCCTCTTCTTCGTCTTCAGAGCCTCTACTCGATAACGAGGTGGCCGAAGAAGGACTGGATGCCAGTCGTTTTTCACTCTCTAGGGAGGTACGAGGGGTTGATGCGGGATACGGTGAAGTAGAAGCAAGAACCTCCAGTCCCTCAGGCACAGAGGGATGCATTTGGGCTCCCTCAGCACGTGAAGGTAGGGTGAAGGACGAGGGAGGTAATAAAACTACTCTTCGTTCGGGTCCTCGTGCCTGAGCCTTGTTCGTAAGTGATGGAATGGAAGGTTTTTGTACGGGTTTCGATACTGGGTCAGCGAACCCGTGCTGCCTGTCACTGAATGCAGCTTCTGAGGAGTCTGAAAACAATGCATGACTTCTCATTCAGGCAGAGTGGCGAAAGCCTTTTCTTTAAATTCTTGATGTTTACAGAAACTATCTTATCACTAGTGGTGATCTCCTAGATAAAAGACGTTCATAAACTACGCCATCTACTCCACCCAAAACTTAAAACTACTCAGTTAGCTAACTGTTGCTCAACAAAGTAACGTTATCAGAGTACATTTAGTATCTCACCAACTGTCTCTCGAGTTTGTTTCGATCTCTCTGCACCAGGAAAAGATTCCTCCCCTGAAGACGACGGAAAGACAATCGATTCATCCCTAGGGTTCCTCTGGTGGGGGTGGATATTGCTCCTCATTTGATAAGACGGTCGGGGTGGCGAGGAACGTGGTTTGGTTTCGTCATCGTCCACTTGGTCCGTGACACGCGTGGATGGCACGCGCGGTGATACATTTGTTGCAATGGATATTTGAGTGAAATCAAAGGACTCCCTCAAGTAGTCGGGTTTTCTTGGTCGCGGACGTTCCTTGAAACCCTCTGACGCAATTCTAGCAAAAATGGAGGGACGAAACAGACCATTAGAAAAGGGAGGCACCTGTAACAGAGCACAAAGTGGAGAGTTCTTGCACTTACTCTTTCTGCTACTCGAGGAGGGAGAGCAATGTCACTGGTCTTTACAATTATTTGGAGAAACGCTGAGGAATCCTTCGTGTAGATTTTTCCTCAAATGAATGGTGCCATAAGGACGTGAAGAAGACTACTGACAGCGCGAATGGAAACGGATTACAACAAGTGCAATCTTGAAAACTGGAGCCTTCTGTTTCGAACTCGAATCCAATTGCTTTGAAATTTGAAAATTTTAATTTCTTAAAGAAATCGCATTCAATCCTTTGTCAAGTCCACATAAAACCTTTATTTTAACATGATACTGAAGAGTGAAAGCTTCAAAGCTCGTGGGGTCGTGTATAATACTCAACTACCTAATACGGAACTAAGATCAAAGTATCAATCTAGGGCCTTAAAATATTAGTTCAAGTTCAGTTCTAAAACTACGCCTAATCACTATCTCTATATCAGGATGTGGAGGCAGTTGAACTGTCCAAAAAGAAGTCTTAAAAATATTCCTTCGTAATAAGTAGCCTTTAAATTTCCTTGAAATTCAAATTATCTATTTTATCATTACAATTAACTAAATTTCAGAGTGCTGACCCACGAAAGGCTAATGAGTCTCTCGTTAATCTACCATTGATGTCGGGATCAAAGCTACATTCTGACAATGTTGTTTCTTGCAAACCAAGGGAACGTTTATTCGAGCCTTGGATGCAACATAGTGATACCCCTACCTCTCTAGTTCACAATATTGTAAAAACAACGCGCAAGTTATCAACTTATGGAAAAAGAACTGCATTTCTTTTTTACCTGTGAACTTCCATAGTGTAGGCCGAGGGTTGGATTGAGGGGACAGAGCGCGTTGTTACTGGTAACTTGGCAACTGGCCAATCAGATTTCGGCTCGATCACAGGTCTCGGCCTAGGCTTGCCTCCTCTCTGTCGAACTCGATTTGCCGTAACTCTTCTCCAGTGCATCGCGCAGCGATACACGCACTGGTGCACGGAGTAAGCAGCCTGTGAACAAGTGATCAAGAGAAGGGATGGTGGTCAAGTAATGTGATGAAAAGTGATGTGGAGAAACTTGAGAAATGACGACTGATACAATCGAACTAACCTCGAGCTGTCTTTCTTGGGCAAGTCTTGATCTTTCTGAAGCCAGATGAAAGCCAACCTAAAATGTCACCACAAGGGAAACAAACAATAAATTCCAATAGTAAAACCAATCTCGCATATAGCGAAACGTTGGCCAATCAAACATCAAGCCTACGATCTAAAAGTGTTACGTCGTCACACCTTCATCCACTGCGTGACTCCGGTCCGCAAAAGTCTGTTTCGTCGCTCTTCCAAAGCTCTGGCGATTCGAACTTCTTTCCTCTTGCGAGAGATTGCGTACTCCAAGAGACCATAAAACGCCTTTAAACCACACCAAAATAACCGTAGATTAAACGCGGTAGAAAAAAGGACAATCTCTTTCGTCGCCTAGTGATTATTTTTGGCAAGTCTTACATGGCAGTTTTCATATTTTGGGTCCAATCAAAACCCAAGTGTCCCTACGAGGCAAATGTGGTATAGGCTGATACTAGTTAGATCGGTCGGGCGGCGGGCGAGTACAAATTTACCTTAGTCTCACTAAACCATATGCGCAAGGGATAAGAAATGATCGACAACATGGAACATCATTTCTTGTAAATTTTTAAAATACAAGCGCATAGAACTAACCAATGATACTGAATATGAATCCGTCACCGATGAATCAATAAATACTCCGTGTTATTGAACACTAGCATGGTAAATCTAACTGTTCGTACGTATTACACACACTACTCACCTTTCTTTGTAGGTTCACACTCCAATGCCACAACGCCAGAACTGTCTTTCTCTTTTCTTGAACTACAATGGCGTGCTGAAAATTTACACATTACAAACTTGTGCAACTAAATGAACTGGGCCAAATCTGTTCTAGATATATTGTTGAAATGTTTCAACTTTTTGGTCCGTTTCTAAAGATTTCGTTATCCTTTTTCTCACTTTAGGTTTCCGTTGGTTAAAATTTTATTCCAAATGGTGTAGTTGAAGATGTCGTAAGCTTAAGAACCGCACGTATAACTTTATGAAAGACAAAAAAGCAGCAAACATTAATGTACAATGAAGCTCAACAAAAGACTGAAACATTCCACAGCAATATTTGGTTTTGCGTCCTGCACAACGGTTGGTTGGTTTCCCTTAACTCTGTGGTAATATCAAAAATTATTTTGAGCGTTCATGCCGTAAAAGAAATGAAGAACTTTCGCTATAGAATCAAGAAAACAGTTATAAAAGTTCAGATGAACTTCAAACAGCTCTGAAAGTAACATCTATAGCTTTCCACGTTTTCTAACACATGCACTCGTTTTACCATAACACCTGACGTGGAAAATATTTCTTTATTAAATATTGTGAAAGAATCATGAAGGATGCGAATGCAGCCATAACACTACTGGAAAAATGACATGGAAAAATGACCTGAAAAAATTTCAGGCTCTGAACAGGATTCGAACCCACGACCTTTGCGTTACCGGTGCAATGCTCTACCAACTGAGCTATCAAAGCCACATGGAAGCGGCCTCGTCCGGGTTCGGCCCTATATGTTCAGTGGACGTAATACTCGGCTCAAGTATATGAATTTCATGGTAATAGATGTCGAACAGTAGCAATTAAATAATGAAAGAATGAAGGATGCGAATGCAGCCTTACCACTACTGGAAAATTGACCTGAAAAACTTTCAGGCTCTGAACGGGATTCGATTCGTCAGGTCATTTTTCCAGCAGTGTTAACATATAGGGCCAAACCCACACGACCGCTCTCATGTGCATGGCTTTGATAGCTCAGGTGGTAGAGCATTGCACCGGTGACGGAAAGGTCGTGGGTTCGAATCCCGTTCAGAGCCTGAAATTTTTTCAGGTCATTTTTCCAGTAGTGTTATGGCTGCATTCGCATCCTTCATTCTTTCATTATTTAATTGCTACTGTTGGACATCTATTACCATGAAATTAAATATTGTAGTTACAAGATAGTTTATAATACTTACTTGTTTCTTCCATTTCTTGAAGAAAGCAGCGGTAATCCTTCGATTATGAATCCACATGCTTTGTCTTTCAAGAATCTGAAAAGGAAAATGACGTCACTTACTCTAATACAATTCCAAAATTATTCCTTAATTTTCTGGCACAGCAGCTGGTTAAAGTTTAAACGTAGGTATTTGCCAGCTTCAAACTTTAATTTAAAAACAGTTGTCAAAAAATACAGGTAGCCAAGAAAATCATCAACTCAAATCATAAAATATCATTCGTCTTTTACAGTTTGTATGTAACCCTTCTACTACGGGGACCGGGGATAAAGTACCCGGGAACGGGGACGACCAAGAATATTCACCAAGAGAACTTCCATAACTCAAACTACAAAATGTGTAAGTAACCCTACCACCCGGGAACACGTATGGTCAAAAATGTCGTCCAAGAAAAGTCGCACAAAAGTCGCTTACCTTGATCCTGAAACAAAGGTGAATGTAGCCCTTCCATGCTTGTACCGCTTTTCGTTGCAGTGTCTTATTATGATGATCGCAAGCCTTATTTCTGAGAGTCTTGTCTCGTACCGACTTCAGTTTGAAGGATTTCCAAGCACGGAACGAACGGTGTAATTTACCTTGCAAAGCAAATAACATTGTCACACAAGCAACAATAACCATGCCTTCCGGTAATTCCAGTTAACCTGCACCTGATTCGTTCTTGTTGACCTGCACCTCTTTAAAACCTCTTTTTTGATTTGTTCTTGTTTATCTGTACCTATTTCGATGTTAGAGCTAGGGGAATTGTTTATGTTCTTTATCTATTGTTTCGGTTGGCCAATCATAAAGAACACTGTAAACGGTGCAGGTTGCCCCTTGTAATCCTGAGCATTGTTTTCCAAACATTATGCGGTATTTAAGTTCTAATTGCATCCTTTCCACCTCTGGACTCTTAAAACCCCAGTTGGCCATTTCACCAACGCATGGTTCTCATGACAACTGATCAAAAAGGCCTACTTCTTAGAAAACCTCACTTTGCTGCATAAACAGAGTAACCAGCACGTCTTACTAACCTCTCGCGAGTTTCTGTTGTATTTCCTGAATACGTTGCCACTGCTGCCACTTCTTGACGGCATGATGAGTTGAGAATTCTTTCCAACACGAGAAACACTGCAAAGATTTAACAGTCTTTGGGTGTAATAGGATCAAACTGAACCATAGACGCTTAACGGCCGACGCCTAAGAAATACTCTCCCAAGTTAAGCTCGCAGTTCAGTACAGTAAAAAAAAAATCCACATATAAGAACTTCAAGGTTTTTCAGGTTAGCCATAAAAAGGTCTTACACGTGTATACATGTATGTGGTGCATGTCTATTAGGCACTGATTTGGGCATTTAGGTTTCTAAATAGATTATGCACTAAAAATATTAAAGAGAGAGTTAAGATAAGGTAAAAACCTAGTAGGCTAAACTTAACATTTGGCATTTAAACCCCATTATAGGAAAACATGTCGAGCCTAAATATTGACACATGTTCTTATTTGAACCACGCATGGATTGGTGCATGTATCGAAGCAGTTTAGTTTTGTTGTAGTCTATTGAACATAAACAACCTGAATTTTAAGAGGATCAATCAGGGGATCCAAAGAAGTATGTGTACTGCATGTCCTTGGAATGTAGTCTTCCCTTTTAGACACAATAAGACGTTCCTCATACACAAGGAAGGGTCACACTTAATTGGACAGGCAGCAAGAACCTTTTCAAAATTATAACCTATTCTTGCAGAATCATCGTGCGGGACATTTCAGGGAGAAACGTAAAACTGTCCTCTTGTCGAAAGCCTGCTGTTTTATTCACCTTGGAAAGTAATGTTTGATTGAACAATGTCTTCGCAACATGCTTATTTCTCCTTTCCTCTTTGTTTGCTTCAGCGTTCCGCTTCCACGTTTCAAAGGTTGACCTGAGAACAAGAGAAGATAGTTCGGGCCTATGTATTCAAGAAAAGTGCTGTAATTCTTACCCAAGGCAGTCAAGGCATCAGTGATTAGTATAAATCTACTAGCATTCTATCATGAATGCCGTTCTGTTATTGGCTACGCTGCTCACTATCTTTTCTGTTGTGGATAGTTAGTAGCAATTGCTTTGGAATGTTAACCGCTTCTTTGCGTTTTCAAAGCGTCTATGTCGTGAAAAGGATGTAGATAAAGTTTTGAATGACTAGTATCGTCAACTATCACGCGATAGAATTCTCGAACTCATAACGTAATTGTTAAATAGAGTATGACAGATAATTATTAGTACTATAATTTCTTCTCGTTTAGAAAGTTGTAGTAAAGTGATATACATAAGTTTAACGATTGGGCTTCCTTTCTAATGTACGACAACAAAATTTGAAAAGAATTGGAAATTAAGGCGAACAAGAGACAAACTTCAAAAATAACCTCAATCGATCCAAATTGTGCGCCTGAAGCCGCTCATCGCTATGTGTTTCAACAACCTTCACATGCTTGTGATGGCCCTGCAAAAAAAGACAGCGAAATATGCATTAGCAATGCAACCTAAAGCAGGTTTACTATAAACTGATCTACATTTCCTGTTAAGTTACCAGAAGTTACACAAAAGTACGTGGATAGGTTATCGACACTCGCACGAAGTTCTATTTTCTCATGTTTTCCTTTTTTCAATTAGAGATAGAGATCAAGTTACAGTCGCGTTACCGATTTAAATATGTACAGGTAATCGTATGAATGTGAGTGCAATTAAGGATTTACACTACGAGTGATATTTGAAAATTCTCTCAAAATTAGACGAGCCTTTAGGTGAGTGCAATGTGAAAGAATTTTCAAAATATCATGAGTAGTGTAAATCCTTAATTGCTCGAGCTTTCAAACGATTACTTATTTGTTATATGAAAATTGCGAACGCGGGCGCGTTAATTTGCACTGCAGTGCAAATTGAGAATTAACGATAAATTGGTTTGCTCTCAGCCAATCACAATGAAGAAATTTCCTCAGTCATATAATAAACGTAGATAACAGTTAATGATCGAGTCGTCAAGAGATAATCACAAGGTTCTTTACATAACTAGCAACTGAGATTACTTCAATTTAAAGATTTGACCTCACTTCTATCATCTACGCAGTTCAAAAGTATTTATTACCACACCGATTACCGTCTCACCTTCCAAGCACTGATTACAACAGAGAGAAGGTTCCGTTGATAAAGCAGGTCGGCACGTGCCTGTTTCTGCCATTTTACCTGCCTGTGATGAACAAACTGAAACAAAAGCACAACAAACCCAAAATAACAGCGGTCAGTTTGTGCTGTTTCAGGTGTCACAAAACGCGAACGTCTCCGAGCGCTCGCAAAGTATATCTATAGTTTATAAAATAACTGACATACTACGCGCACGCTCATTGGTCGATAGGTATGTTTACATGGGAGTATGTAAATACGGTTGTGACGTTTTAGATTCAGGCGAATTTTTGAGAAATATTTTATAAAAGCAATAGAGTACTACTCTCGACGCTTAACTCCAGTTTGTGCATCATGAAGTGGCTAAGAGTCTTGAAGGGATGCTAGTTTATTGCAGGTTAAGAGCCAGGTTGTCAGGTTGTCCCAACAATTCGCCAATACCAAAAACACAGGATCGAGACGAGTAGAGGAGAACTGTGGATTTCCCGGGTTCCAAAGGGGAGTGAAAAGGATAAAAGAACAAGAACATTTATACAACTGGGTATAGAGAGGCACTGTGACAGTAAAGTGTCTTGCCCAAGAACAACACAACGACCCCAGCCAGATCTCTATGGATCATTAGATACTGACAGTTCAACGCACATAATAGACAATTTTTTAATCTCCGTAAAGCAAATATTGTGGTTTGAGACCAGGGCTCACCTGCTGCCACGCTGCCCACGTCTTTCTCAAAAGATGAATGTAGTAATGCCTCACCGATGAATGCTGTACTGAGCGACTGGGGCAAAACAAGCAAACCATTAAATGTTAACGACCATCTTGTGAAGTTTTTTAAATAATAGGAGTCAAGGGCCGCAGGTGATGTAATACATCAAACACGAAAGACCGTGTTTGACCACATTTTCAAATACAGAGGAGAGAGTTGACAATACGACGCGTTGCGGAGTATTTTTGACGAACTTCGAGGTGTTTGGTAATGTGGTCAAACACTGTCTTTCGTGTTTGATCTATTACGTAAAGATCACATACGAATTAGCGTCGTATACCAGTAGGTCAGTGAAGTGAACATGGTGACATATCTGTGGTGTATCAAAGTTTACCTTTGTTTCATTTCTCTGTCAAATTCTCTCCACCGTGTTATTCCCATTAGAAGCAATTTTCGATTGCGGTGATCATCAGCCACAGCCTAAGAGTAAAATATTTAATACATCTAGTTTAGAACCATGACTTGTCGCATAAAACCCTAACACAAAGTTTTGTTTTCTCTTCTAAAAGAACAGTACAGTATATTTCTCTTTGCTTAATGACTTCCTCTAGGTTTTGGGTGATACACTAATGGGGCACTGGGTACCCTTGATGTGACGGAACGCAAAGGCAAAAAGATAAGGCTGCAACGCAAATTGCAAAATTGTGGAAAATCTCTCAGCGAAGGAAGCGTGTTCAACAAATATAGTCAAGGGCCAAAGCCACAACGATGTAGTAAAATGTCGCAAGAAGCACGAAAAATTATTTCACATGTATACATTTGAGTCAACATCCCAAGCCCGTGACAAAAATTGCGATTCAGGACCACCATATTTAGTTGAGTAAAAGATCGGACTCTCGGAGTGAACGGTTCAGGAAAGGTCACATTTTCGTTGAAGAAGTGTTAGTTGTCAATCAGTCTCAGACAAATATAAACAAAAGCAAACTGTCTCAACTTTGTCTCGAAAAAAAGCTGCATCTATCTGATCTATTTACCTCCAACTTTCTTTCGTGCAGTTTACTTCGTGCTCTTTGAAGCCAGAATTGAATAGAACGCCTCTTGATGACTTCATCATTATGAAGAATGGCCTAAAATAAAGCATAGCCCTTTAACGATTAATAACATTATTCTTTTAGCCTGCTGAGTAATACATGTAAGAACTTGTAACGAACTTCCGATTATCGCGTCAAAAGGAAAAGTCAGGTTGCTTACGACAAAACAAAACTTGCCGGCAACTGATAAATCCTAAAACATATACTTATCACAAACCAGTAGTTTTCTTGTTAGTAACTTGTTTTCATACTTTGCTGATTTTAAGCTCAGTAAGAGGGGAGAAGAAATAAGGGTTTGATGTTAACAAAATGGAATGAAGGTCAAAGTACAGAGAAAATGAAGGCAATTCTTACCATTCTTTCCATCATTCTGACATCCATCATCAGCTGATATTTTCTCCACCACGAGTAAAACATCTTTGCCAGAAGTGCCTCCCTGCAATTTAAAAATACTATAAGGTAAAATAATCAAATTGTATTATATTTTGGGAAGAGAACATCACGAGGTCCAAACGTCCGTTAGGTCTAAACGTCCGTGACAACCGGAGCCATCTGAAATTGAAATCATGTTTTCCATCTTTTCATTGTGTAGGGCAAACATTTGGTGTTTTTCCAGACTTGGTACAAAATTTTCACTTTTTCTCCGACTTGAAAAAATTGCTCCTGCATGCCCTTACTTTCCCATGGCTCTGGAAAAACCTGATTAACATGCAGTAGTCTTAAAGACGAGAAAGTGTAGAATTCTTTTGTTCTGTATTAACTCACCGTCTGAACTTTTCTGCAGCAAGGTTATTTTCTTTCTTGGAGTGGATCAGATCCACAAAAATCATCATTCTACAAAAGTATCTACAAAACACGAGAATGTGTTAGTAACTGTCACCGACACCATCAATTTCTAAGAGTCACAAAAATCTTTTTGCGGCTGTTACAATACCAATCAGACAGGTAGAAAATGTTGACATTAAAACAAACCTGGGCAAAGCTCTTTCACGGAAATGATAATCAGCTTTTCCATACTGAAATTTTCTGAATCTCCTCCACTGGCAGTATCTCACCCAAATTGCAAACAGCTTCCTCTTCAGCTGAAAGCTACACATGAACAAGTTATTAACCAAAGGCAAAAGAAAACCCACAAATTGCATCCCAAAAAAATGATTAGAATGTTAGAAACTTCACATTCGTCTTACTTGTGATGTGCTCTTGCTTTCCTGGAAACTGAATGAAGCTTGAGTTCCTCCGAATGCTCACATCGCCTTAACCAAACATTCCACACTCTCTGCAGTTGCTAACAAAACAAATTGCAACTCGTATAGTCACTGCATATTGTCAAATGGCATCATGGGCACCGTGTAATGAATGCAGATGGTATTGGAGTATGGTCAAGAAATGGAATGTACAGTACAGTAGTTGTCCTTTCAACATGTTCTTTCACCACTGCACTATTGTCATGAGTATCAAATAATGTTTACACTTCCTGTCATCTTCAGTATCTTTGGTTGTGTTACCATACTCTACTTACAAATCTCTGCCACAGATCTTCAGCCATCCTTAGGCGCATGTTCTTTAGTCTTCTCTGGACAGCTTGTAGATGAAGAACATTAAAGCAGGTTTTCTGTACAGGACACAAAAAACTCTCTAATATTACGGTAGGAGATTACTGTGGCAGTGAAGGCACTCATACTGGTCAACTTTCAACTGAAAAATTACAGTCAGAAGTCTATAGAAATTGGCCGTGTCTGAAAAATCAGTCTGAGAATAAACGGAAACTTAAATCCACCTGCATTCTCATCTGCACATAATTATATATAATGGCACGAGAAAGATTATAATACACAAAAGATCATTGCAGAGAGGATATTTTAACGTATTCCCGTGTCTGTCTTCACCATCTACAATATATTATTATGAACTCGCAAATTTACCAGCTCCCAGTTTGCTTCAGTTGATAGATCAGTTGGTAACAAAGTATAGCAGAAGTCGAATGTTTCAATCCCGTTCAAGCCTGAATTTTTTTTTCAGGCTTTATTTTTAGCATTTATTGTCAATTTTCACTCGTGAATTTGTGCGGTCGGGAATCCTTATGCGATATAAGGCGAGATTGCTGTCATCATTTTGTTAGCGAACGGGACTTTGGGCGCGACGCCCAACGAGTTTGCCAAGCAGAAAGGTCTCTGATGAGTCCCTTGGCCGGGACGAAACGAGCTGCGTAAGACTAACCACGAACAATGTATTATCACAAGTAACTGTCAACTTTATTGTCAATTTATTTTTAGCAACAGCAATAATCTTTCGCATAGAATATTAGTTTTTTGTGTTGTAGTTGTTTTTATCCTCACAGAAAATTACTGAATGCATGGAACACATTGTTTGTTACATAGTTACACTTAAATATAGCACAAATCCTATGTGATATGTGAATTAAACTGAAAGTCTTTCAAAGGACATGATTATAAATTTAACATGCTAACAAAGTTGATGACTAACCAGCAAGTGTTGTGTATAGTGACGGACAGCAATGTCTTCATTTTCATACTCTTCATGTTTCAGAGCAATGTCTTTTAGTAAAATTAGAGAAAGTTAAAGAAAGTTGATTACAGAGAGAAACATTTTACTACGATGCAAATGTCACAATGATAATCATGACCACTTGAAGATGGTCTTTTGATCAATATAATATAGTATATATACTCTATAATATGTATACTCTCAATGGGCGAAATGTTTAATGCATTGCACTCAACATCAAGTAGTCCGGGTTTGAGCATCCATGCTGCGATAACTAATGTTAAGAACACAGCCCTAACTGTCTTATCTCTTTACTCTTATTACCGTTCTGAAAGAGATATTGTTGACTCTTGGTTAAAGATCAAAGTGAGGGCGAGGATACAGTATTTCCAGTTAACAAAAGCTCTCCTTGCAACAGCCACATCCCCTTTGTAACTAATCAAGTCATCAAATTGAGAAAGCTCTACTTGTCTCTGCCATCTTGTTACCCAAATGTCAAATGACCTTTTCAGCAATACAGATGAGAAGTGTCTTCTACCAGCGTCTACATGAACAGAAAGTAGTTTACACAAACATCTTACACAAATTATTAGTATTCAATAGTACACAAATGGGAGTTACATGTAAGAGTACTGAGTGCCATTGCACTTTTAGCCAGATGGCTGTCCAGGCATCCACAGGATAAAATGTTTTATGCTTCACATGTAGCACATTTTGGATGCACAATTTTCAAATCCTTGCTGATAGCCTGATTACCATTTTGTTTGATCATAAACATGATGATTTGACAATAAAACATGATAGACAAGTCGAAAATGGTACTGAGTATTAGGAAGTGTATAGTTTTTTGCTTTAATAATATTTTACAGACCATGAACCTTTGTAAACTTGACATATTTATTTGTCTCTAACAGCATGGTTAAATTTCAAGAAGTGGGGTGAGTCCTGTGATTTGCAATCTTTAGTCTGACAATTTATTGATTTACAGTACACAAAAAGGCAGCTAAAGCTTTAATGTAATGAACAGCACACTTCCTAAAACAATGTTCTCTTGTTGAAGACAACATAGTACAGCACCTACCATGTCGCAGCTGTTTCAGTTTTTTGACTGATCTGTAGTGTTTTAGACCTCTCCACACTCTCAGCAATAATGTTCTGTCATAAAATCTTGAGGCAACTCTGATCTTTTCCTTCTCTTCAGTTTTAACTGAACAAGCAGAAGTCCACACTCTCCAAGTCTATAGATGAGAAACCCAAGGTATTATTGCAGCTATTACTACATCAAAGAGAGAAGATCCACAGCAGGAAGGTAGTAAGGACGAAGAAAGGGGTAGAGAGTGACCCTCAGGAAGAAATACACTTAGATTATAAAATTATGGTTATTACTTTCTCTGTTGTACAATGTTTTATAGTACAGTGCACTTCTGCATGTACATGTATTTTGATAACAAGGTCAGTAAAATGGCTGGAACATTATATAAAAGTAAATGGTTACTATATGTAAGTTATCTGACTTCAACTCCGTTTGATAGAGAGTGTGCAAACTATTAAACTAACATCAGTTGATTGATTAATTGATTGAACTGACATTCAGTGATAGATTACTAGGCTAGCTGTTTTTTTCTCTACCTTGGTCATAAGACTATCTGCCCAGAACTGGAGGGCTACGTGGTCCATCTGTTGTAACTTATGCTTGAATGTTAATTGTGCCAGCCACTGATCCCAAACTCTTCTGCAAAATGTAAAAAGTGCAGTACATCATGGGAGTTGCAAAATAAATTATTGATTCATTCAACATTTACAGTAGATAATGTTGAACATATAAAGAGTTTCCCAAATACTTGATTAATTTTCTAGATTGGTAAATGATGTCTGCCTTTAAGATCCAATATATTGTATGATCAGGTCTCTTAGTATTCAAATTCCCAAGAGGGATAAATCTCTTTTTGGGAGGAATTTTTTNCTGACAAAAGCATTGAGACACTTTGCAGTAAAATTCCATTTTCAAACATCTTGTAAACATTTTGCCTCCCTCCCTTCAAACAAATTACGATAAGTTGATTTTTCTATACACTGATCTTAGACTGCACTGAGACCACAGCAGCTGCAAAACATTAAATTAAGGGACTGGGGGTATCAGAAAATTATTGCTACATGAAAATTCATTTGAAATAGAACAAGGGCTAAATATAACCTGCGTGTCATTTTCTGAAAGTGTCTCAACTATTTTTTGTCACCTATTGTAGGTCTTTCACTATATTCATAATTATGTGACCTCACGTCCTCCATAATGCTACATGTAGAATTATTATTATAGTCTGGTGTTGGCACTTCTGGTGAGCAGTTTGAGATAACTAAGGACAGTACACATAAAAAGGCAATCAAGTTCCAAATTTCAAAAATTTAGACCAAAAACAAAGTGAAACAATACGTCACATAGTGACTAAGTTATGGAAATATTGTAAGGTAGATTTTTATATGAAACCTTCTTCGAGTTTCTTGGAATCTTGCATCACTTTTATCAGGAATAGCTGTTTCATGGTGAGGTTTTTGCTCATGTTGTGGTAAAGACTTCACATGTCTCTTGTGGGCTGCACCAGCATAACCTCCATCTACTCTTCTAAAGAAAGAACAAACATAAACTGTGATCTATAATTTATACTTAAAGGAGCTGTTACATTGTTTTAGGCATTTTTGAGGTAAAAATCACTTTCACAGTGAAGGAAGCCTCAAATACACATTTAGATCTCAAAATAAACAAGGACGGTTATGACTGAAGAAGATTAAAACAGATCAAAAATTGGAAACTGGAAAAATTACTTGTAGCCAATTCTTTNTAACTAAGGACAGTACACATAAAAAGGCAATCAAGTTCCAAATTTCAAAAATTTAGACCAAAAACAAAGTTAAACAATACGTCAAATAGTGACTAAGTAATGGAAATAATATTGTAAGGTAGATTTTTAAATGAAACCTTCTTCGAGTTTCTTGGAATCTTGCATCGTTTTTATCAGGAATAGCTGTTTCATGGTGAGATTTCTGCTCATGTTGTGGTAAAGACTTCACATGTCTCTTGTGGGCTGCACCAACATAACCTCCATCTACTCTTCTAAAGAAAGAACAAACATAAACTGTGATCTATAATTTATACTTAAAGGAGCTGTTACATTATTTTAGGCATTTTTGAGGTAAAAATCACTTTCATAGTGAAGGAAGCCTCAAATACACATTTAGATCTCAAAATAAACAAGGACGGTTATGACTGAAGAAGATTAAAACAGATCAAAAATTGGAAACTGGAAAAATTACTTGTAGCCAATTCTTTAAATTAAGATACATATGCTGTCCATGACAGAGTTCCATTAAGGTGAACCAAGCTGAGGTATGCAATAATTATTTGGCTTGCTTAAATAATAATAATGTAAGCAGTATCCTTACTTAACAACAGGAACAATAATTGCCACGCATGCTGAATTTTGTGGGCTATACAGTGCATACAATATATGGCACTTTTTCATTGCTAAGTTGTGACTATTAGCTTCATGTGGCTTCTTTGTAATGTAGGTTACATGTACCTTGGGATCTTTGATGAGAATTTAACAGCTTTTCTTTCCTCTTCCTTAATATTACTTGACTTAGCATGATCTGCGTAAATAGTAGGTATAAAGCATTAACTTAGACTTGCAGTTAGCTATCCACAAATGCAGAGAGGGTCATATTTGAATAAAAAATCTACACCACAATACGTTCAAGTCCTTTATCAAGCCTCTCCCATTAACCCTTCCCCTGCAGCTTAATACTGATATGTTGGTTACAACTACTAGCACATTCAAAGATACATAAAAAGCAAACTAACAAATAAAGGGGACAGGATTACTGGGAGGATAAAAATACAAACATAACATCTTGGATAGATAGATAGNCGGTGAAATTTTTTTATATTTATCAAAACAACCAATCAAAATCTAAGTGCTGGAAACTGTTTTAAGTCTCCTTAAATGTAGTGTTAGTTAACCTAATAGGAGTGTTATCCAGGGTAATCACAACGCAAGCCATGCAAACCAGTTATCCCTACCGACTGTAAGGATAACCACAAGCTAACAACGGCAATTATTTTGCTGTTTTTTTTTAGGTTAACCAGATTCTATTTAGTCTAACCAGAGTGCTATTTAGGCTAACTGGAATTGGCTTGCATGTTTGTTCACTTGACTCGCTGGCTTGCACTTTGTGTAGACTTTTCAAATTTCCCGCCAAGCACAAGCCAGTCGCAAACATTAAACAACAGCACTTGTTCTGTATTTTGCAGCACATACCTGAATCATTTCCACTTTTCACGCCTTTTCTTCGACTTTGCGGCGCTACACCCTGAGCTCTTACGACCAGATGGGTACTGAGTTCCTCCAGGATGGCTTGCTTGGCCAAGACACGAGTAGACTTGTCATCTTTAGTAGCGAATTCTTTAGCCTTCTGTTTTGCACCAGACACAGACAACTTCTTTGGTTTTGTTGGCGTATTGTAACGCTCATTTCTCATGTGTCTTCTTCTGCCACCTGGGCTGTCTTCTTGCATTTTCAGCTTTAAAAGTTCCAGCCATCCCAACTCATACAACCCGCCATTTTTTCCCGACTGACTACGACGACCACGATGACAAAGCGGCGATTTCCGACAGCAACGAAAACTTCCGAGAACTTTAGATAATGGCAAGGGTGCATGATGGGAATAGTAGTAGTAGTAGAACGTGAAACAAAATGGCGGAGGTTTACAGAGACGACATCACACCGCGGCACCGGGTATTATTAGGCTCCTTCGAAAGTTATTAGCGAAAATTGTGGGGATTAAGTGTGCAAGTGTGTTTATTGGGCAATTAACCGTTTCTGGAGAGGCTTAAACAGAGGAAAGTCAAAAGATAATGGATTATTCTGGCGATCGAATTTGACGCCGGCGTACGTGTTCGACAACTCATAGTAGGAATATTTATTCCCGAACATGTTGAGCTCGGTAAAGAATTATGCCGTTGTCTCTGAACAAATATCGGAAGATATGAATGGATCAGAGGAAAATCACGATGAGTCTAATGATGACAACTGCCGCAAATCTTCTCTGACAAATGCGCTTTTATCGCATGATGTACACTGTACTCAAACTGACGCCCAAGTTACGTGTTCTGAGGTTTCCAAACTTCCTTCTGACATTGAGGAAGCACTACAAGAGGATTACGAAGAAACAAGCAGCAATACTGCTGTAGAAGAAGACACAGATCATAACGAAACTGGTGATGATGAGACTGATGATAGTTTTAACATGACGAGTGTTGCTGAAGTTTCCTTGGAAGTCGTAGAGACTTCAACTGATGCTAGTGTATTTCCGCGTGGTAAAACGAGCCAAGAATGTCCTGCATCCAGCGATTCTTCAGAAAATCTTCTTGGCTCAAACAACGCTGAAGACAGTGACGAAGTTTTTCCTCTTGTAAAGCAAAAGGCAAACTCCGCCGAAGATTTGCTCGACAAAAACTTCGTAAAATGGGCGAATGAGGGTAACTTGCTTAGAAGTAACAGAGACAAGGACAGTGCTCAATCTTCAGAATCACCAAGCAGTGATGTTGAATTTAGTGCGTGCTCTTCAGTTACCAGCTGTACTGAAGACAGTGGAATTAGCTCCATTGTTAGGGACGAAGAGCTAGAAGAGATCCCACTAAATAACTCTCAATTTAGCCCAGAACTGTACAAGCAGATGTCCAGATTTTCTATGGACGATTCGGTTGCGGCATGGATTCCTAAGTCCTCTAACACGTATGCCCCTAGCCCGAACTCAAATGCAAAGATAGTGTCGGTAACAGATGGCGGAAAGTCACAGAAGCAGAGTAAGCTAAAGTAAGCATTATTTTATTTCTTTTACAGTGGTAGAGCTGTGTTTTCTACTTGTACATTGTACATTTTACGGTTTTCTTAATGCGTATAGGTAGTCATTTGTTAACAAACGAAACTGAAAGTGCAAACAATACAGCTTGATCTATATCGATGCAAGCCTTGATCGAGGCTAGCTAATCTTTGTAGCTGTTGGGTCATTGCTACTGGAAGAGACATGTGGAGGTGTAAAATTGTTTACAATTTGATAGTCGGAGACTGCACCCTGCAGAGCTGATTTAACACAACGTAAGTGATATTGTATCAATATTGCTCATTTGCATGTACTTTTCATGCAATATTGGAGACAGCTAAAATTATTGGCAATCTATCATTGAATCTTGTGACAGAAATTCACTCCTTTATTCACTCAAATCATTTGAAATGGATTGCTGACATTATGAAGCAAGACATAGTATTACCTACCATCCCAGTTAATTATTCTTGGCTTCTTTTTATTTCCACCCTATATGCAACAGCTTCTCGATGTGAGGCATGCATAAGTGTAGCAGATAGAATCCCCCCTTGGGAGCTTGCCCAAAGTCAAATATCAAATATCAGCATGTGCTGGGTACTTAGTTAACTAATATGCAGTTTATTTTTTGAGAATATAATTATTGTTCTCCAAAATGTATTTTGATGCATGAGACAAACAGCGTGAACAAGCAATTTGTTTTCTGTAACTGAAATATTATACATTTTTCTGTGCCTTAAATTACAAATGAATCTATTAACATTGTCTTTTTTCTCACTTCTTACCAAGATATATTCTCAACCAAAAACTATAATCAAATTGATTGTTCATGCTGGATAAAATGAGTACCTGAACTGACAAATATTCATGAATATTGTGTACTTGACTGTTTAAAATGCCAATACATGTATATAAGAAATATGTTTCCTGAATCTGGAATCAGCTAGATACAGGAAAGGAGGTGAGATGGTATATCATATTCTTACCAAAAATGTGCTTTTCCAAAAAAATTAATACACTTTTTAATTATTAGTTTAATATATCACACTAATATTCAGGCTAATGTACGTTTGCTAATGGCAGTTCATACTCATCCGTTTCTTTGCAGGGGCCTGTTTTCAAGGTCATCTCAGAAGGAACCTGTTCCAGCTTGGAAGTTATTTGGAAAGGTTCCCATTAAAGATGCTAGGGAAAGCAGCAAAGATCTTCATAATCAGCCATCATCTTTTGATAGAGGTGAATAGTCAGCTATCTGATCACATTTCTTTAGAGTGTCCTCAATGGGACCTTACAAACTTGTCCAGTCCCACTATCCTGACCAGCTTTTCCAAGATGTTCAGCTATGCTGATGGTCTTTACTGGCTAATATTCATTATCATAATTACTGATTGAAGGGGAAATCCAAATGGTATGTGAAATTTGAAACTGAAATCTGACATTGAAACCACAGCTTACATGTACATTGCACTTACAAAGCATTCATGAATAGCCTCTGCCATCATACTTACCGGTAATGTTCTCCACTTACAGACATCATTAAGTAAAGGAAGGCAGGTAAAGAGTGTATGTTATTTAATTAAATTCATCATCATTATTTTAAGAATTTGTCTCTCACATCTGTTATGCTTTCTTCTCAACCTGCAGGAGACAGTAAGCGCAGGTCTTTTGGGGATAGGCCTTTATCAATTACTCCAAACTTAAAACCAAAATTTCTCTCTGTAAGAAAGAAGCCTACAGCAGGTAGCTCAACAACAGCCCTTATTTTTGAAAACAGACCCAGGTAAACACCATACTGTAATAATGTTTATGAGATTGTGCATATACTGGAATAACATTGTGGAATTTTCATAACAGTTTTCAACATTGTAAGTACATAAGTATGCCTGAACTGGTACATCATGTCTGCTGAAATGACATGTATTACAACAGTCAAATGAGTGATAATGATTCCTTAATTCTGCCTATGGTATGTTGAATGCTTTACATTATTTAACAACAAACTGGGCCTTCTCAGTTGGAATGTACAGCTTTAAATTCTCTACAAGATCAACAATAAAGTAGCCTCTTTTGTAAATGTAGGTTTTTTTCCATGACCTAATGTTGCATGTACTTACATTTCAAGGTAAATTTTCATATTAGCACTTGCAACATATCAGTTTACATGGTAATTTGTTGTCATGTGGTAGAGAATTTCAGGTCACATTATATCCTCAATTTCCTTGCTGTGTTCATTTTTCATTGCCAAAAATATGTAATAAACAAATCAAAGATAAACAAGTCTTTAAAATCTTGTTTTCACACTGATTTTTTTATCCCTTTCACATTCTCAGTAACCTTCCAGCCAAATCACCAACAGAGGAGAAAAAACACAGACGGCAATATGAAGCAATGGTAGCTGAAGCAAAGAAAAAAGGTGAAAATCATTACTAAATTTGTAATGCTGATATAACATATACAGGGGACATTGTAGAGATTTTAGAAATAGAAGACAGATGCAGCATATGCTTCTGTATGGGTTTGGAAGGAGCACTGAAGAGTAAAGAAGAGCAGGAAAAGGGTTTTGTGTAACTCATCAACAATACATGTAGATGAGCTTGGGGAATGGTGCCTGAAAGAAAGGTAGAGCCCAAGAACAAAGTTAACTGAACTGAGCACCCAGGGTATCCATGACAACCCTGTGAGTGGCAACCACAAGGCACCATCACACTGAGAAATCAGTGGAAACACAGGCGGCCCAAGCTCAGGATAGGAGGAGTTATTATTTATTTATTTTTTTAATCTTTATGCGAACGTTCAGCGCATGAAACGTGACATATTTACTGCCGACATCTACTATTACATAACCACTGAGTTTGGTTACGTGAAACGTGACCTTCACCTTGTAGCATATGGTGGTGTTGTGTTACAGCGGTTTGAATTTATAAAGGTTTGTATGGGGAAAAACGGTAGTCGACATTATAGCTGAAATTTTGATATTTTTGCANATTTGCATTTACATGTCTTGAATGTTTGGGTAGGGAAGGTATTGCTCTTAATTATATATACACACTTTATTGAACTTTTCGGTAACAACAAATCATATACCGATGTAGTAATAGTGTACTCTGTGAATGTAGAATTGAAGGAGATGAAGCTTCAAGAGAAAAAGCTCAAAGAAAAGTGCAAACAGGAAGATGGAATTGTTTCTGCTGTCTCTTTGTGGACAAATGAGATACTACCCAACTGGGAAACTATGTAAGTTTCCTAGATTGCATTTCTCGTGTTTGCTGTGACTGGAAGTGACTTTGTAGATTGTGTCAACATAACTTTACATGTAGTTTGGCTTTAAGTTATGTAGAGCGATATCATACAGAGCTTGTTATTAATATAATTTGTAATTTTCTTCCATTAGGCAGCATGCAAAGAAAACTAGGGATCTTTGGTGGCAAGGCCTTCCACCAAGTGTACGCGGAACGGTTTGGAAGCTGGCTATTGGAAATGACTTACACATTACTCATGGTTAGTTGTCATGTTTGCTACCCCACTTTTAACCTATTTTGACCAGTGAAGTGACATAGTAATCTTGGTAGATTCTAACTGCTGATAAACACTGTTTAGTGTAATTGATTGAAGACAAGTAGAATAAAATGTTTCTTAATGTTCTGTTTGCAGAATTATTTGACATATTCCAGTCTCATGCATATGAAAAACTCTTCACAACACGACTTAACAAGAAGAAAAACCCAACACAGACAGTTGCAGAGCTGCCAGCAAGTGATCATCCAGTTGTCAGCAAGGCTCACACAGTAGAGCTCATCATGATGGATGTTTCACGGACATTTCCTTCACTGTGCATATTTCAAGAGGTATAGTTTGGGTTGACTTGGCTTTCATTAGTGAGGAGGAAGTTATTTCAAATCAGCTTATCCAGCTTTAAGGGCTGCCTGTGGTCATGTCTTGGACAACTTACAGTGCCTCGATCCACTAAGGTTTACATGTGCATACCGCAGGCCACTGTTAGGGCAACTTAGTGAGCAGGGGTACCATTACTCCTAGTTGCTTCTTTGGAAATTGATAAAAGCTTCTCAAGTAGGATGGGCCACTTTGGCTTTCAGTTGAATAACACAAGTAGCTATAAGAAACGTGTAACTTGGTAATGTCAAAGAGATGTTGGTGAACATACTTGTAAATCAGTTTGATAATTTTTTTCTAGAGAAAAATCCTTTTTCGATACATTTATCTTATACAGTTTAATACATGTATTGTATGTTTTGTTCCAGGGTGGTCCATTCCATGATGTTCTTCATAGTATTTTAGGAGCATACACCTGCTATCGACCTGATGTAGGATATGTAAGTTATTTACCATTACTTTCACCAACAAGTGCACAGTTGTTATGGGGGTGGTGGAAATATTCAAAATAACTGCACGACTAAAAGGAAAATAAGAATTAGACTGAAAAACTTTGAGTACTTTTAATCAGCAATTAGAATTTGGCAAAAAGTATACTTAATCCCCAAATATTTGTTAGTTTGTTTCGCACATTCCTGTGCTAGTTATCAATAGTTTTTAACAAACTTGTTTTCTAAATTTCAGGTCCAAGGAATGTCATTTCTTGCAGCTGTTTTGTTGCTGAACATGGAACCATCTGATGCTTTTATTTGTTTTGCAAACCTTCTCAACAAACCATGTCAACTGGCTTTCTTTAGAGTTGACCATCCAATGGTTAGTACATATATTGAAACAAATTTGACTGTTCATCCTCTTGCTTGCTTGCTTTACACATATATGTGATTGAAAATATTGAATATCACTTTCTAGGCCTGAATATTTTGTTCCATAGCTTTTTACCAGTAAAGACCCTGACTTCACCAGCTCTGTGGACATGTTCAACATTATATTGTGAATTTGCTGGTTTTCTACATTGTGTAACATTACTGACTCAATAAAATGCTTCTTTTAGATGGTTGCTTATTTTGCTGCCTTTGAGATGTTTTTAGAGGAGTTTCTGCCCTCAGTTCATGCACATTTTATCAAAGAAAACTTCACACCTGATATGTACCTGATTGACTGGTGAGAACAATAAAAATTACAAAAAGATGTACATAGTTTGTTCACTGACTGACTGTGTAGAAGTATTTTTCAGTGATGTATCATTCATCTTAAGTTTATAAACCATGGTTAAGGTTACATTGTGTGAATCATTGCAGGACATTCACATTGTTTAGCAAATCATTACCTCTGGACGTTGCCTCAAGAGTGTGGGATGTGTTCTGTAGAGATGGAGAAGCATTTCTATTCAGGGCAGCACTAGGTGAGTTTCTCAAGTTATTCAAGAATCCCTCAATGACACAATGCTACAAGAAAATAACTTTTAACTATCATGAAACTGGATACCAGGGAGAAGTTAATCAGAAACCAGTTCACATTGACTGAAGTTTGACTTTACTCCTCGGTCAGAGTGTACGTAAATTAAAAAATCTGAATCCAGAAAACGTGAGTACAAGAATTTTTTTTTTTTGTAGTCACATAACTTTTTTCATTACTCATCCTACTCTGCATTTTCAAAGTTGACTAGGTAATTGATGCAAATTCCAGGCATTGTTTTGAGAACATACATTGAACATTCATTGCACCTGTCCCCCAGTTTTCCTTGGTAATCCTGAATGCAAAATTTTAATATTATTTATTTCACAGGAATATTGAAGTTTTATCAGGAGGATTTGTTGGAAATGGATTTCATTCATCTTGGCCAGTTTCTTTCCAAGTTACCAGATGACATACCTGCAGCTTCTCTTTTCCAAGCAATTGCCTCAATTAATTTGATGGAACAGAAATTTATTCAGACACTAGCCATGCAAAAGGAGGTTGCAGCCCAAATAAAAAGTGTCTCTTCATCGACAAAATGAAAGAATATGGACAAAAAATTAACTGTCTTTAACTTAACTTTTTTGCTGTGAAAATATTTTCTGACTGGTTCATTCATGCAGGGTCACTTGACATGATTGTAATATTCAGAAAATGTTGCTAGATGAGTTTATGAAAGGGACATGCATGTAGCAGCTCTGTTAAGGTCTCACATGAATGGCTTGATACCCTTTAAGGGAACAATTGAACAAACAACAGAAACAATGCCCCTTGCCCTAAAACTATGACAGCTGCGACAATTCAATAAAACAACAGCAGCTTAAGAGAGCTGCTACACTTCTGTTATGAAAGTGACAAAAATAAGTTTGTCTCACATATAAAGGTGTAATGCAGTTTTGTCTTGAGTTCAGTTCCTGTTGAAACAGTCCTACTCACTCACCTGTGTGTAGAGTCCATCCAAGCTCTTCTTTACATGTAGGTCATTGGGCAACCTTTCTGGTATAATTGGATGTTATATATTGAGATTAGCTAGATAATTTTCACCATGCCCACTTTGACTGGTTCAGTAAAAGCTATCAGACTTTTCACATGCAAGCTTTCCATTCAGCAAACACACTTCAATGTGTTATGCTTACTTATCTTTTGTCAATTTTTAAACTAGCTCAAGTTTGAAAAAGGGTCATGTAATTATTAAAATTATATAGTTATTTTTAAAACCTGATTCGAAGGTCGGCTATGTGGTAAAATCTGTCCCACGTTATGGACTAGAAACAGTCGTCTTGAGGCCACTGTATCCTTCCCATTCTTCCCAGCCCTTCTACTGAGGCAAAAAGTGGGCAATATTTTCTTACTTAATATTTTTTTTCTTAGTTAATATCTGGTTAACACACAGGTTGGGTCTAGTGAACAGTGTAAGACATGTAAGTTATCATGGTTGTGAAGCAATAAGCAGTAACAGTGAAAACCAATAAATGAATTTGGATTCTCAGATTATTTCAGGAGGCTTTCATGCAATTCGTACTTTGCTTCATAACTGCATTGGTGACTTTCATTGCAATACTATTATAAATTACTATTTTGCATAGCACTTTTCACAGAACCTTACATAAAGAAGTGATATAGTATCGTTTCATTTCTCTCCCTATTAAAATCTATTTTGGTATAATGCAAGGTTGTATAAATAGGATGTAATTAGTTCTTTAGGTAAAATGTAGAATAGGTATATATGTACAGAATACTCTAAAATCATAAAAAAATTTTTTTTTTCAAGCCAATATATACTACATTGATTAATCTATGATTTTCCGATTTCGGTTTTGCAAATATTCTTATTTAGTTGGGTCTTTTTTTTCAAAGCGTAAAGTAGGCATGTTTATGATTTGATTACAATAATTATACCTGTGTAAGGTGCATATTTAATTACATGTTATGCCAAATCAAAATTTATAAAAGGGTTTTTTTTTTAAGTTGGCCATTGCCTCTGCTTCAAAATGAGGCCATACATATGAGATTTGCAAACACACATGTAACTTAACTTACATGGAAGGTTTTGCACTCAGGCACATCTGTCTTGTCCTGAATACCATTTCATTTAGTTGTTGTAAGGTTGAAAACACAATTCAGGGTTTGATGGTTTCCTCATTGCTCCAACCAAGAGGGGATGCCTAGGACAAGGCAGAGGCTAGGCTTGTCTACCAGACGCTGTTTCTGGAAATGAGCCCGCGCTCACCCCCTCTTCTCGGGGAGGAACGCAGCCGGACCAGAAATCGAGCCTAGGCAGAGGCCTGACATCGACAAGGAGACAAACAGGAGCGTAATAGACACAAACTTCCATGCAGTCAATTTGATTTTCTGTTTGTACTATGGTATTTACGTGGAGTTATATTTTGGTAAAGATTTTAATGCTAACGGAAAACAGTGTACGTTACTGGAGGTTCGGGTAACAAATCTGGGAATTTTTTACAATAATATATGTTCAAGCAAAACAGTTGTAAATAAAAGTTTAAAGCAAAAGTTTGAATGTTGCCATGTTAGCTTTGTCTGCATTACCGTTGTTGTT